GAAAGGGGCATTTTGAAGAATGGGAAACAAGAATCGATACAGGAAATAGGGGTTAACAAAAGGGGATTTCGAATAAGGGAATCAAAACAACTACCAAAGCAAACAAACATAAAAAACCTAATCCTAATATTTTCCTAATTTTATAAACCAACCTAGTGAGTTAACAAACGTGAAAGGGGCAGTTTCAAAGAAGGGGATTGCGGTCTAGGGTTTCATAGAATGGAGATGGAGAAGGGGGAGAGAAAAAAGTTACAGAGAGAGAGAGAGAGAAACATACCATGAGGCGAAGTCGAGGGCAGGTCGTGTTCGCGGGATGGTCTTCGAGGCGAAGAAGAGTGTTGGAATGGTGTCTCAAAAACAGAGGGGGCTTTGGGAAAACACGTAAAGAGCTCAGCTGGAAAGAGAACAATCGGTGAAGAAATTTGTAAAAATTGTAACCGGTTGAAGAGGTACTCAAGATTTCTAATTAAATTATTCAGTGGTTGAGATTTATTTGTAAAAATCTAATGGCTTAAAATAAATGTGTATATGATGTGTACATCTCACACATCTTAACAGTTTCCTTAACTAATAGACAGGAGTTAGCATAACCTTTAAAAATAAATAAACCCACTGTTAGGGTATAAGGAGAAGGAAATCTCAATTTATAGGGGTCCAAAATAAAATAAGGAGAATTGTCCGAGTTGGATCCAAGTGGAGAACAAGCGGTGGTGACTCATCAATTGCAGTCAAGTAAGTGAGTGAGTGGAGTCCAGATCCTCTGTCGTAGTTTCCTGCGGTGGTTCAAAACGACGTCGTTTTGAACCTCTTTTTTTTTTTCTTTTCTTTCTTTCTTTTCTCTCACTTCTTATATTTTGCTCGTCAGCCTCTTTTTGTTGTCTAGTGTTTGAACCCTAGTGAGACGAATAGAGACGCGACTACAGTGAGGAGAGGAGAGCAGTGGTGAGGCAAGGGGAAGCGGCAATAGACGGACATAGAGGCTGAGGCAACGGTGATGAGGTCCGTTTGTTGATTTTCATTTTTTTCCCTTCATCCCTTCGCCTTCATTCTCATTTTTTTTACTTCTATATATATAGAAGTATGATTTGTTGTTCAAAAAAATAGATGCTTTTGATTTATTGAGTTTGATGGATTTGTTGTTGATTTGTTGCCATAATTCTAGGGTTTGTTGTGGAAATAGATTTGTGTTTAATCTGTTCAATTTTTTCCCAATTTTTTTTTTGTGTTTAATATGTTGATTTGGTGCTTCATCTTTTTTAGTTTGAATAATGACATTAATCTGGGTAAGCTAAAATATGAGTGAGCTAAGAATGCAGCATGTCTCCAAATGAAATTGAAATTTCATAGCTTTAAAAGTTAAGATTTCCTGACCAAAAAATATAGAGTTCTAATATAAGGGGAAGTGGAAACAAAAGGCATTAAGAATGAACATGAGGCATTAAGAATGAACATGAACATGAGGCATTAAGAATGTTAAGAATGAGGCATTAAGAATGAACATGAGCATGAGCATGAATGCTCACTTAGCAGCTGTAAGAGTGGTATGAACATTCAAACTTAAGGCATTAAGAATGAAAATGAACATGAGGCATTAAGAATGTTAAGTTGTTGATTAGGAACATAAAGAATGTTAAGAATGAGGCATTAAGAACATGTTCATGAATGAGACATTAAGAATGAGGGATTAAGAATGAACATGAACATGAGGCATTAAGAATGTTAAGAACATGAGGCATTCAAACTTAACTTACCTCTGTTGATTAATGTTTTATTTTACATCTTTGTTTGAATGTTGTCTTAAGTTGTAATGGACTGATTGTGTCATAAAATGCTCTTACTAGGATCATGTCAATGGGTTCAAACATTGATGTTGGGTATTTGCAAAATAGAAGATGCAATTGTGGAAAAAAAGCTGCAGTGTTCATATCAGAATCAAAGAAAAATCCAGGAAGGCTGTATTTCAAGTGTGCAGATAGGATGTGCGAGTACTTTGCGTAGGGAGCGGCTTCGACTGGGAATGCATCAAATATCCAAAGGAACCGTAAAGCTAGTCATTTGAAGAATGAAGATGAGAAAGGCTATGGTTATGATTTTGACAAAATCAATGAAATTATAAATAGATTGAAACGAGTTGAGGCAAACCAAGAAGCTATGAAACTGATTATGTTGACAACCATAGTGTTGGTTGGTGTTACCATGCTAATAGCACTACTGAAATGAATGTAACCTTTTAGTTATTTATTTTTATTTTTATTTTTTTGGTGGTTGTATTTGGGTTTTGAATTTAGTAAACCTTAAATTATGAGTTTTGATATGTAAAGCTTAATGAGATTACCTATGCTTGACGAATGTGATGCGCTTCTTTTTTGTTTCTGTCAATGAAGTTGCTTTCTGATTCAATCTTTTCATTCATTCTTTTATATTGTTATTGTTGGTCATACTTGTTCTTATCAAGATAGGCCTTTGCTTTCTAGACCTGTGAAATGAATTTATGGCCCTGTTGTTTGCAATACAAATGGGATTTGGTAGTTCATTTGTACAAAACAAATAACAAATAGAATAATCTGTCCAGAAACAAGTAATCTGTCTAGAAATAATCTGTCTAAAAATAAATCAGTCCAAAAATCTATCCAAAACAAAAATAATCTGCCCAGAAACAAGTAATCTGTCCATAAATAATCTGTCCAGAAATAAATCAATCCAAAAATCTATCCAAAACAAAAATAATATGTCCAAAACAAAAATAATATGTCTAAAACAAGTAATCTGTCCAGAAACAAGTAATCTATCCAGAAATAATCTATCCAAAAATAAATTTGTCCAAAAATCTGCACAAAACAAAATAAATCTGTCCAACACAAAATAAATCAGTTCAAAGCAGTCCAAAACAAAAGAAATCTGTCCAAATCTTTCCAAAACAAAATAAATCTGTCCATAACAAAATAATTTTGTCCAACACAAAATAAACCAAACCAAATCTATCCAACACAAAATAAATCAGTCATAATCTCTGCAACTTAAAAAATAAATCTGTCAAAAACAAAATAAACCAAACCAAATCTGTCCAATACAAAATACATCTATCCAAAACAAATGAAGATAAAATAAACTTCTCAGAGATATCCATCTACATGACTGTCAGCAGGACTATGTGACGCTTGCCAGACTTGGACTGCAAAGTGTTGAACACTTGTACCTCGAAGCAACTCTTGAAAAGATCTATGAGTGGGATACACAGAATGCATTAACTGTGGCATGTAATTTCCCTGCAATAGACCAAACCATCTATTAAACTTTGATTACAATGTATACTACCGTTTTAATGTAAACTATGTAACCAATGATAACTCACATCATATGTACCATACATAAGAGGAGGACCACTTGTACTACCCATAAGAACTTGAGGTCGAGATTGAGATTGAGAAATGTAGACACCATGACGATGATCCTAAATACAACCAATATAAAGTATATAAACAAAAATTTTGAAAAACAAAAGAAAAATTATTCAACATTAATATTACCTGATTATAATTACTATCCATGACGAAACGAGGTTGTGATTGAGAAATATAGACACCAACACCATGATCCTAAATAAGTATGTAAACAAAAATTTTGAAAAAAAAAGAAACAATATTTAACATTTTCTTAAAAGCTTGCACACAAATAAATATTACCTGATTAGAATTACTACCCATGATGAAACGAGATTGTGATTGACCTTGGGAAGTATAAACAGCAGCACCCGATTGCATTGCCAGTCAAACCAATTAAAGGAATTCATAACTCACATCATACTAGTGAACGGACTCAATAAAAGGAATTCATAAAACTAACCATAAAAAGACCACATTACTATTACATATTACTTGAATAGAATTACTACCCATGACGAAACGAGGTTGTGATTCACCTTGGGAAGTACAAACAGTAGTACCCGACTACATTGCCAAGCAAACCAATTAAAGATAACAAAAATTAAATGCCATATGGATAGTTCATTATTTCACAATAGTGAACGGATTGAATGAAAGGAATTCATAAAACTAATCATATAAAGACCACATTGCTATTAAATATTACCTGAAATTCACCTTGGGAAGTACAAACAGTAGTACCCGACTACATTGCCAAGCAAACCAATTAAAGATAACAAAAATTAAATGCCATATGGATAGTTCATTATTTCACAATAGTGAACGGATTGAATGAAAGGAATTCATAAAACTAATTTTGAGGGCGTTACATTACTATTAAATATTACCTGAATAGAATTATTACCCATGCCGAAAGGAGGCTGAGATTCACATTGGGGAGTATAATCAGCAGCACCCTACATACAACAAAAAACCATAGTGGAAGTGGGTCATTAATAAAAAAATCATTGTTTTAGTTTATTGATCTAGTGTATTTTAATCATATGCAATTTTTCATGTCCAAACCTGAATAGATTGCATTTTTTTCTTCTTTGTAATAGATTTTTCCATCCCGCCTTTGATCCTCATTCTTTTCTTACTAGTTGATTCTTTTTTCTTGAGTCCCTTAGCTTGGATTGGACAATCTACTTCATCACTCTGCGAGCATGTGTTGCTTGACGAATTTCTCAATCAGTTACCTCCACTAGACCACATATGTAGACACTTAATTTGTCTTCAACCATTACACTCAATTCTTTACCTTTTGAAACTGACAACTGATAAGTTTCTTCACTTTTAGCGGCTCTGCTCGCCATTGCTCTAAACATGGTCATTAATGACCGATATCGGTCACTTTGATGTAGTTTCACATCAGCCTTCACTTCATACCCATATATATCTTTCACACTTTCAGCTCTTGCTTTTTTAGTCCATCGTTTGAGTATATATTATGGAGGAAGTTTCGTTGCATTGAATATATCTCTAAGCATCTTCACACAATGTCGACATAGTATGCCTTTCGCTTCAAACTTCCTGCAACTACAACTCAAAGAACCACCTCTCTCTATTGTCACATTCTTATCTTTTTTTTCCATCTACTACTGTTCTTATTGTGAATATGGTACTCTCACCATCATGAATAGTGCCTATAATGGATGTTTCAATGGACTGCACGTACTCATTTTGAAATTCCTCAAAAATTGTTTTCGTGTAAATCTCTGCCACTTGCTCTAACATCAAAGTTGGAATTGAAACCTTCGGCAATTTTTGGGACAAATTATACTCGGCTTCCAATTCCTTATACCGCTTCTCATAAAGCACCCTCTCAAAATGCATGAAGAACTCCATCAAGTTATGGTCACAATTCAGATAATCCATCAAAAATGCATTGAAGGATTTACTAAGTTGAGTAGTACTCATTCCAACTACCCAAGAATTCATAATATATGGCAATCCCCATTTCTCTTTCATGCAAAAAGTCTACTCCAACCAATGATTGTCGCGTGCATCATACTTATCAAACATTTGGTCCCACCGTATTCAGAATTCTTCTTTATTATCAATGTCATGCATAAATTTTGAAAACATAGCCTTGGCCCCTACATCATCGAAAATAGAACTTACATGCTTGACAATATTTTGCATCAAATGCTATGTACAAAGTCGGTGGTTTGTATCGGGTATGACAATTGGAATGGCCTTAGCTATTGCAGCATCTTGATATGTGAAAATAGTTTTCGGAGCTTTGTTTGACATTGCCTCCAGAAAAATTTGAAACAACCATGTAAAAGATTCAACAGTCTCATCATACATCAACGCTGCACTGAATATAACTGTTTCTCGATGATGATTAAATTCAACAAATGATCCAAAATGTTTATGCTCGTTATTTAATTTGTAAGTAGTGTCGAATGTCACTACATCACCAAACTGAGCATAGTCCATGATCATTTGAGTGTCGGCCCAAAATATATTACTTATTTGCTCTTCACAATCTAATTGAACTGCATAAAAAAAGGATAGATTTTTCACAGTTTTCTTACGAAAGTAATGCAACACACTACCCGCTTCTCCATATTCCAAATCTTTTGTCTCTTCGATATTGAGTAATTTATTTGTTCCAATTTCGTGAAACCAAGTGATGCTCTTCCACAAGATTCCTTACCGAATAGCTCATAAGCAGACCTAAGACGAATTCCAGATTCTAAAGTCAATTCTACTTCAATTGCTTGGGTGGTAGATATTTGTCTTTGGGATGGCAACATATAAATGCGATCTTGAGGCACAAGATCATGATTATGATGTTCAACAAAATCACAAGCAATATATTTTCCTGAAATTCTATCTAACTTGATACTAAATCGGGCACCATAACCACATCGTACCTCTTGTCTCGGATTTTTGACAAGTGGATCTCGTTTGTCAATACCTTGACTTTCCTCTTTGTAACATACAAATGTCTGTGATGTTATCTCCTTCGTATGTTTGTTCTTGTTTGCATAGGCTTTCCTAATACTAAAGCCCATCTTTCCCCCATACGTATTGTAAAAGTCATATGCGGCTTATTCAGAGTCAAATGACATTCCCACTTTCGGCTTCCAACCACAATCATCAACAATATTATTTTCTTCCATTTCCAACAATTTAGTATCATTAACAATCAATTTCTCTGTTCTTGCTATTTTTTACACATCTTTCTCATATATATAAACCACATTTATACTTAATTGCAGGCTCTGGAGGTTAATTGCACAAATCTGAATCATATATATATATATATATATAATGGAAGAAAATTATATGAATCCACAAATAAATGTATGAATCAGAAAATAATATTTACAAGTAAATGTGATTAGCTATCTAACAACAAATATGAATCCACTAGAACAGATCAATGTGATTAACTATCAAACCCAAGAATCAAATATATCCAACCCAAGAGTCAAATATAGTTCATATATGAATCCCCAAAAAAATGAATCTGTTATATATAGAACAACAAATTTATATAGAATCAAATATATCAAACCCAACAATCAAATATAATTTATATATAAATCCCAAAATATTTGAATTATATATATATGGAACATCAAATTTACCTACTTTACTTACTGAACCCATTTCAGTGAGTGAACCCATTTCATATGAAAAAAATCTGAATCATGGGCTAAAATCTGAATAAAAAAAAATCTGAATTATGATTTCAGTGAAATCAATTAATAAAACATATATGATTTTTTTCATATAAATTAAGTGAAATGGGTTAAATAAATCAACATATATGGGTTAAAAAATCATATATGGTTCCAATCTATTTACATGTTTTTGACAAATCAATAACAACCCATTTATGAATCCCCAACAGATTAAGTGACTGAACCAAACCAAAATCAATAACAAATCTATACTTATATATGTATATAACAACAAGATGATGAAATAGGCCTCGCCGTCGCCGCAATGTCGCCTTCCCGCCATCGCATCGCCGCTGGACTCACTGTTGCTTGCGATCCTTTGCGTTGCTCGTTCGTCATTGCGTTGCTTTTCCATCTCTGCCATTTCTTTCGTCTCTCAGTTCCTCTCTCAGTTTGCGTTCGTTCTCTTTCAATTCCTTAGTCGCCTCTTACAATGCATCTCTCTCTCTGCTAGGGTTCACCGACTCAGATCGATGGTGCAAAGCAAATAAAATGATACAGAAAAGAGAAAATGAGAAAAATGAAGAAAATGAAAATTTTGAATTAAAAAAAAAATCACTAAATAAAATGATGTCGTTTTCTCCAAAACGACGTCAAACAACGTCGTTTTGGGGACCGCCGCAAAAACCATGGCAGAAGTTAGCATAACCTTTAAAAATAAATAAATAAATAAATAAATAAATTTTGTTCCCATTGTTAGGGTACAAGGAGGAGGAAATCTCAATTTATAGGGGTCCAAAATAAAATAAGGGAGAATTGTCCGAGTTGGATCCGAGTGGAGAACAAAGCGGCGGTGACTCATCAACTGCAGTCAAGTAAAAGTGAGTGAGTGAAGTAAAATTCGAAAAATGAGGGGAGTGATAGAGAGAGAGAGAGAGAGAGAGAGAGAGAGGCCATGGCAAACCTCTCAAGCCTAGTTCACGAGCTTCGCGAACGCATAGCAGCTTCATCATCAACACCTCCCAACATCGGAGACGATGACGCTCTCGAGATCAGATTTCGCGCTGTTCTTCCCAATCTCCTTCACGCCTATGTCGTCCCCTCTTCTTCAGGTCTCTCTCTCTCTCTGAAACCCCTCTGTTCAATAAATTCTCAGATTCATCGTTGCTTTTCTTGGTGTGTAGCCAATGAGAGAGAGGTCATCGTGGTATTGAAGCTATTGACTCACACAGCAAAGAATTTTCCCGGAGTTTTCTTTCATGGTAGGGCTACCGCAGTCCTACCTCTTATTGGTCGCATACTGCCATTCTTCGCCGAGCCCGCATTTCGGTGAGTGTGGTTAACCAGTATTCTCTTTAGTGTGCTGTCATGAAATTGTGTAATTTTCTAGTGTATTGTCTGCAAGTTTGATGCTTCTTTGGTTATTAATGAAAGAATGTTTGTCTTTTATGTTTCTTTATGGAGTTTTATGTTATTTGACTTTTGTGTAATGTTTGGTGTTGTAAGGGCATCTCCAATGCTTGGCTCAAATTTTGGTAAAAGTCACTTAAAACATCCTCCATTGCTTGACCCAAATTTATAACAAATTGAGTTTTTCTCAAATTTTTACCCAAATCAAGGGAGACTCAAATCTTTACTCAAAAATTTCTACGCTATTTTGTGTGTTTTAAATTAATCAATCTTCCATTAGTGAAGCTTTTACTCAAATTTATGCTTAAATCTAAGTTTGTCCATTGGGAGTGTTTCATATAAAAGAAACTCAGGCCATGTTTGTTTGGGTGGACATGAGCTTGGGATTGGACTAATAGTCCAACAAAATTATTAATCCGATGTTTGGTTAAACAATTGAAGTAGGGACTAATTATTTTAAACTTGACTATTAGTTAAGAAAGGATACATAATCCAACGGATTCGTAGTCTTAGGACTATTAGTTATGGGAATGCTAATCCAGTCCGCCCAAACAAACATGGCCTCAATGTTTTATTCAAATTTGAGTAAGGACTGCAGATGGCCTAAGGTATCCACTTTTAAGTTATGGATTTTGTATATTTTGTAGAGTGACAGCACATTATGCCCCAACTAAGAAAAGAAATTCTTACAGTATATTTATACATAAACTACATAAACACTCCCCAAGTTGCTTCCAACCTTATATGTTTCCTATGTGCCCTTGCCATCCCACGCTCGTCTCTGCACCCAGTTCGTGCAATTAAGGTTTCAACCTCCTCAATAAGAAAAAAGAATGAACAGATGATGCATTACACCCAAGATAGTTTTGATATCTTCCAAGCAGCATTTATTACATTTTTGGCACTGTGGTTGGGTGTGTTGGTCTCTGTACATATTCTCAACAATATTTTAATTGTGTATGGCTGGATGTTAATTTATGGTTACAAAATGCTATGTGAATAGCAACTATCAAATGTGTTAAAACCTATCACCTACTTCACCCACTTAAACCTACTCCACTAAACCTAACCCACTATACCACTACCACCTCACCTACTCCACTAAACCTAACCCACTACACCACTACCACCTCCACTTCACCTACTCCTTACCTACTACACACTCACCCTCTTCTATATATAGGAATCATGAATCATTCTAATAGAAATCAAATCAAACAATCAATAATACAATCATTTCTCTTTATACATTAAATTTCTACATGGTATCAGAGCTGGTTTAGAACGTACTATAGGGGTATCCATCCAACTTCAATTGTGCTATGGTTCGTATCATTAATGCATGTTGGCATCGTAGAATGTGATAGGTGTCTGAGTAACAAATGCAATATCCAGAGTTGTTCCTAGATTTATTGCTCTGCTCACTGTGTAGTTGTACAGGTTAGATTTAATTGTGGCCATTAAACCTAATTCTTCTATTGGTTTCCTTTTTCTAATTTGCAGATTCTTGGAGGAAGAGAAGAGGAGTGTTTCATATAAAAGAAACTCCGGCCATGTTTGTTTGGGTGGACATGAGCTTGGGATTGGACTAATAGTCCAATAAAATTATTAATCTGATGTTTGGTTAAACAATTGAAGTAGGGACTAATTATTTTAAACTTGACTATTAGTTAAGATAGGATACATAATCCAACGGATTCGTAGTCTTAGGACTATTAGTTATGGGAATGCTAATCCAGTTCGCCCAAACAAACATGGCCTCAATGTTTTATTCAAATTTGAGTAAGGACTGCACATGGCCTAAGGTATCCACTTTTAAGTTATGGATTTTGTATATTTTGTAGAGTGACAGCACATTATGCCCCAACTAAGAAAAGAAATTCTTACAGTATATTTATACATAAACCACATAAACACTCCCCAAGTTGCTTCCAACCTTATATGTTTCCTATGTGCCCTCGCCATCCCACGCTCGTCTCTGCACCCAGTTCTTGCAATTAAGGTTTCAACCTCCTCAATAAGAAAAAAGAATGAACAGATGATGCATTACACCCAAGATAGTTTTGATATCTTCCGAGCAGCATTTATTACATTTTTGGCACTGTGGTTGGGTGTGTTGGCCTCTGTACCTACTACACACTCACCCTCTTCTATATATAGGAATCATGAATCATTGTAATAGAAATCAAATCAAACAATCAATAATACAATCATTTCTCTTTATACATTAAATTTTTACAAAATGACTATTAGTTGTAAATCTTTAGCCTGTGTTTAAATAAAAAAAAAGATATGTGGTTTGAATTTTTTATCACTAAACAAACAATGTTTGTGCAAAAAATGCACATTACCACTTCTTGATACTATTCTTGCTTGTTTTTCATATTTCTTTCTTCATTTTCTGTTGAGTACATGTTTCAGCATCTTTTTATTTTTTTATCACTGGTTGTTGGAAAATTAACATAATATGTTTCAGCTCTCGGCATGGAGTGATTTTTGAAACAGTTGGATCCCTTTTATCCTTGCTCCGTACAGGAGATCGAGATGCATACCGTCAGCTTTTTATAGACACCATGCTGATGGTTGAAGGTATGAAATGCACCCTGCAAACATCACAATATATAAAATAAAGGTGATTGCATCATTTAAAGAACTGAGTGATGCTCTATATTATTTTTCTCTCTTTGTTGCCCACAGTGGTACTCTTGTTTGATGATTTCCTCAAACTTACGAAGAATGTTCATGGAAAGAATAGCAACGTTTTTTGTTTTCTGTCCCTTTCTCTAGTTAGTGATGGATGAGGGAATTGGATAAAAAAGTGTGACCCAATGCACGAAGCTCCCATTCAAGTGGGGTTGCATTACTTTATATTTATTAAGTTTGATTGTTTTATTATGTTTTAAAAATTGTAGTTTTACTTTTTGCAACTTTTAATAAGAATTTCGGTGGATGCCTATAAATAGGCCTTTTATGTAATGGTTTCACATACTATGATATTGAGATAAGAGATTTTAGGGTTTCTTTTGTTTTCTTGCGCTTGACCTTTATTTTCTTTTCTTTTCTTTTGGTTACTCCATGGCACATAATTCTTGACACGCTATAATGCTCCATAATTCAATGATTCATGGTCTAGACCATTGCGATCAATTCTTCAATTATGTTTTTGCACTACTAATATATCTCATAGCCATGATCAGGACCATCCTATAAAGTAACTTGCTCGTCTTTGTACAGATCTTCTTTATATAGCATCTCTCTGTGCCAACGAGTCAAGCATTACAGTATCACGCAAAGTGTCTTTGAAGTGCTTCTGTGAGTCGTTTAATGGTATTTCCAGTGATCCTGCTCTTCTCAGTGATCTTCCTCCTTGCAGCAAAGCTGCTGATGGTCTTGGTGTTTTGATTAACCTCACTGGCAAACAAAGGTGGCAGCCTTTTGCCACTTGGGTCATTAGGCTTATTTCTAAATGCCTAACTGAGGGAACTCTATATGTTGAAGGACTTATCAATGTGTCATTTGTTTCGGCTGCATGTACTTTGTTATGCTATGGGGAAGCTGATCTGCATATGGTGGGTAGCATATTGATTACAAGTTGGCATTTTTCAGTGTAGTTTTTTAGTTATATATTTAGCTTATCAGCTCAACCAAACTTGAATGCTTGATAAATGTATATATACTTTTCCATCTTTGACTTTGCGAGTTGTGAGCTTATTGTGGTATGGTTATCTAACAAATCAAATTTTGTGAAGGCATGTTTTGACTTTGCACGCATCATTGGAACAGTTGTGGATTATGAAATTGTTCCCAGCGAGAAATTAATTCAGCTGATATCAACTATATTAAGTGAAGATGTGGAGGGGCTTCCAGTGTTCAGGTACATCTTCAGATGCTTGGAAATTACTACTGTTTCCTCATAACTATCCCTGTATGAAGCTTGAATGGTCTAGTTTTAGGTCAGTCAGTAGTTTGTAGTAGAATATCACTAGAAAATTAGTTTTACCGTGACAAATTCTTTCGTACTTTACACTGGAAACTTTTGATTCTTTTTCTTTTTTTATCTCATTGTCCCTTACTGTTTAGTTATAACTAGTATTTCTAAACACTTGAGATAACTCCCCTTCGTTACTTCCCTTTTAAAAACAACAATTGGTAGGGCTTTGAATTGTCAGTGGGTCCTACTGAGAAAACCCATTAAACTGCAATTTTTCTGCAGCTTTTGTTGTACTCTGTTACAGGTCTACATGGTGTAATAAAAATTTCTTGGTGGTCTAATTATTGTCCTTTCACTGGTAAACAATTACCGTCAGACTATTTTGCTCAAGTATTTTCATTAAAACACTACTACTAATGCTAATCTCAATTTGCAGAAACACTGTCTATGATTCTTCCATGGGTAGTTGCCTTCATGTACTGCACTCTAGTTGTAGTGATGATGATGTCAGGTTGACTGCTGCAAATTTAGTCACTATTTTTCCAGAGTCAATGCGAAGAACAAGAAGTCCAGAGCTTAAGGTTTAATCTGGTCCCCATTATTCTTTTTTGTAGACAGTCATGATTATTCTAGCTAGACATAAAATTGATAACTTAATTCCTTAGGGAAGGTAATTACTTTTTATTTTTCAGGCTGCTTTATGCAATGCATACATTCGAATTGTTAAAAGTTGCCCCCCTCACATTTGGAGGCCAGAATCTCTCATCTGCTTGCTTTGTTCCTCAAATGCCTGTTTTGCATTGATTGATTGCTTACGAATAGTTCTATCTACGATCAGTCTTGATATTGTTGAAGAAGCATCAACTGATGATGGTAATATGCATTTATCAACCCCAAATCACAGTGGATATGAGAGCTTAAGAGTTGGAGGGAAAAGACCTGTTCAGGACTTCAACACATCCAAGCCAAAGCGTCAGAAGCTAAATCAAGAAGTTATTACTTCAGATGCTAATTCTCAGGATGCAAACAAGATTGCTAGTGAATTTAATTGTAATATGCACAATTTACTTCTTTCATTTGTTGAATGTCTAAATCCTCCAGGTGGAAAAGCAAATTCATTAAGCCCGGAAGTTGCCTTAACAGCTCTTAGCACTCTTAGCATCGTTTTCTGTATATACCCACGGACAGAACTTTCAAGTTGCATTTTTGGGAAGATGCGTGAGTGGATCCCTTGGATATATGAGCAGGTTCGGTTATTATTTGTATATTGCTCATTAACTTACCCTGTACTTGCACTCATATAACTGAGAATTATATCTTGCAGGCCAAACAGTTTAGTTCACTTCCACTTGATTTAATCATCTTTTTGGAAGCGGTTCACAGTATCTTGCTTGTGGAAAGTAAGCATGTACATCTTGTTTTTAACTTTTCATCAAAATATTCACCATCTTCTCATTTGCTATGAGGGTAGCATAAATCAAAGAAATTATTGTTGAAAACTCATGCTAGGAATATTTGTTCATGATCAATTCAATTTTTTTGGACGAAGGAAGGTACTTATTGGGAATCACCAAGATGCTGCTTCTTGTAAATAGGTTATTGTAGAAGCCCTATTTATGCAGAAAAGTTATATATTTTCATATTGTATCTTTATTTATCTATTTTTAGATTTTCTTGTTTTTGGTATTACTTTGTAACTTAGTGAACATAAAATTTACATTTAATGTCCTGTGTCATTTTACTTTTGCAATTATAAGATTAAGAACCACAAGAATTTAATATTTCCTGAGCTGGAATGAACTTGCTGCAGAGAATAGCTTCATCCCGGTTTTATTACTATTTAGCTTGTTCTCTGGAAGTGTGCTAGTTTAATCTACTATATTCTGCTATTTAACATATTATGACTTTTGTCAACCATATTTTTTTTAGGTTCCCTTCCTGAGGAGAATAGGCTTTTAAGAAATATGGGTGATGGTGCAGATCATTGGCTATTACTGCTAAAGCTTCCATGGACTCGTACTCTTGTTATTGCAGAACCTAATCCTCCATGGAAGACAAAATGTCTCTCTGTCCAAGTTCTGTCCAAGATGGGATGCATATTGAAAAGTGAAAGTGATTTCGAAGTTCTGGATTTGGGTCTTCAAGATGAAGCGGAAGAAGTTAGAACTGAATCTGTCATTTCAATGCCAGTAATTGTTTTGTGGTCTGGTTTTGCTATACTGACACATTTGTTCAAAAGGCTGCAGTAAGTAACCAATATATTTCTTCTGTGTGTGGGGCACTAGTATTTTTTAGTGTGCTTTGGGATTGGACCTAGTTAAAGAGGAAAAAAAAAAAGCTTTGAGTGTATCATGTGAAGTTTTTGTTCAAACATTTGCATTCATCACATTATACGCATGGAGCTCCTACGATTGATGAATGGTCTTTTATTTTTCTTGTTCTCTCTCTCTCCTCTCTCTCTCTTTTTTTTCTTTTTTTTTTTTTTTTTTTTTTTTTTTTTTTTTTTTTTTTTTTTTTTGGGTTGGAACATTTGATAACCTTTCCTTGCACAACTATTGTGTGTTCAACTTAATGTTTCTCTTACTTATTTATTTTTCCGATAAAGGATGCCAAGTGTTAGTGACATATACTTGAAAGTGATGCAAGTAAAACCATGAAGAGATAGGGAAACAAAAGGTCCTAGAATCAATACAAGATTGGGTAGTGTGGTAAGAAGAACTATAGAGAGGAGTTTTCTTTTGTGTTATTTGCTAGGGGAATTATTTGTTTTGAGTTGCGTTGGGTTTTGGGATAGGGGTATCCATCCAACTTCAATTGTGCTATGGTTCGTATCATTAATGCATGTTGGCATCGTAGAATGTGATAGGTGTCTGAGTAACAAATGCAATATCCAGAGTTGTTCCTAGATTTATTGCTCTGCTCACTGTGTAGTTGTACAGGTTAGATTTAATTGTGGCCATTAAACCTAATTCTTCTATTGGTTTCCTTTTTCTAATTTGCAGATTCTTGGAGGAAGAGAAGAATGAACAAGTCAAGAAAATCATTCCTCTTTCTCTTGGTTATTTGGCATGCATTTATGGATCTTGTAATGGTGTTGATAGTCTTTGTGAAAGTGATTGCAAATTATTCCTGGCGAAGGAGAATGTTAAACACAATTCAGCAGTAGATCATCTACTGCGTGGATTCTGGTGTTCAATGTGTGACAGAAGAGTTGTACACAATCATGAGTTATATTCGAGGGTTGTGCATCTACCTGACATTCAAAGCATAGAATTTGGTTTCGATGCTGATTTTGTCAATCTACAATCTCTCTTCTTCAAGCTTCTTTATGATGAGTCGTCGGAAGAGGTTCAAGTTGCTTGTGTAGGAATAATTCAGCGAATCATTGCACATGGAACCAAGGATATTCTGCTTAAAACAAGATCTGAATGGATTAAATGTGTTGAATACCTACTCCTCCACAGAAAAAGGGCTTTGAGAGAAGCATTCAGCAGACAGATTGGCTTCTTTATTCAGCAGCCCATCTTAAATTGTTTGCTTTTAGATGAGGAGGAATCAAACAAAACAAAAGAACAGAAATTCTTGGACAAGATAAAACATGCTTTGGCAGCAGCTGATGATCCGCAGATATTTGAGACTCTTCTGGAATCCACAGCAGAGATTATGATTTCAGTTGATATTGACAGTCAACTTTTCTTATTCTCGCTTATTTTATTGGTTGATCAGCTTGATAATCCACATTTGACAGTGAGGTTGACAGCATCAAAGCTAATACGTCGATCTTGCTTCTTCCATCTTAAAGGAGGATTTGAGCTAATCCTATCAAAAGTTATTAGTGTTCGGAATGAATTATATGATTATCTGTCTGTGATGCTTTCAAGTCGTCCAAAAATGGCCGGAGAGTTTGCAGAGGCCGTTCTCAGTATTGAAACTGAAGAACTTGTCAAGAAAATGGTTCCTGTTGTCCTTCCAAAGCTCGTGGTCACTCAGCAAGATAATGATCAAGCTGTTGTTATCTTATACGAGTTAGCCAAGTGCTTAAACACGGATATGGTGCAACTGATTGTTACTTGGCTACCAAAAGTGCTTGCTTTTGCTCTTCATCGAGCTGACAGTGGAGAGTTGCTCTCTGTTTTGCAGTTTTACCATGTGCAGACCGGGTCTGACAACCAAGAAATATTTGCAGCCGCATTACCTGCACTTCTGGATGAACTTGTGTGCTTTATAGATGGTGATTTGGATGAGACAAACAAAAGGTACAAAATTCTTTGCCAATTTGAAGATTTTAAGGAAATGATGTAGACATTGTTGGTTGATCAGTCTAAAATTAAGCATGTTTTCAGTGTTCTCCTAACTTTGGCTTTGCTTTACTTGTAATGCGCTCTTAACTACTGTGTAATTACATATAAGTCGAGCTGCAATTCTTTCTCTTATTTACTTTTTTCTAGGGTTTGGATGTTGACTAAGTTCAGCTGTTGCTTTTATGTCTTGTTAGTCCTTATGTCAATACTTTTCAAACCTGAATTGGTTGGACAGGATTTCTGATATTGGGGTTTCTTTAGCGTAGAATTTATGCTTCATTTCATGTTACTTGCTGCTGTTATATCTGTAAAATGGAACATCAGTCAGTCAGTGCTATTACATTTTGTGTTTACAGGTTAGCTAGGGTGCCTCAGATGATAAGTGAAGTTGCAAGAATTCTGACTGGTACTGAAGATCTTCCTGGATTTTTGAAGAATCATTTTGTTGGTCTTCTCAACAGTATGGATAGAAAAATGCTTCATTCAGAGGATCTGTCACTGCAGAAACAAGCCATGAAACGTATAGAGATGCTGATTAATATGATGGGTTCACACCTTAGCACTTATGTACCTAAACTTATGGTTCTTCTCATGTATGCTATAGATAAGGAGTCACTGCAGGCTGAGGGTCTCTGTGTCTTGCATTTTTTTATAAAGCAGTTGGCAAAAGTGTCGCCTTCTAGTACTAAACATGTAATATCTCAAGTTTTTGCTGCTCTTATTCCTTTGTTGGAGCGAGATAAAGAACATTCTTCTTCAAATTTCAGTAAAATTGTGGAAATATTGGAAGAACTTGTTTTTGAGAACAGGGGTATTCTAAAGCAGCATATCTGTGAGTTTCCTCCTTTGCCCAGTATTCCTGCTCTAGCAGAAGTGAACAAGGTGATATGTGAAGCACGTGGGCCGATGACTTTGAAAGACCAACTGCGAGATATTGTTGATGGGTTAAATCATGAGAATTTGAATGTTAGGTATATGGTGGCTTGTGAGCTGAGCAAACTGCTGAATGTGAGAAGGGAGGATGTCACTTCTTTTGTCACTGGGGAAGTAGGTTCAGATATGGATGCCTTGAGTTCTTTGATTACTTCCTTGCTTATAGGCTGTGCAGAAGAATCAAGGACTTTGGTTGGACAGCGGCTGAAGTTGGTATGTGCTGATTGCCTTGGAGCACTTGGTGCAGTTGATCCTGCCAAAGTAAAGGGTTTTTCAAGCCAGCGCTTTAAAATTGCTTGTTCTGATGATGATTTAATCTTTGAGTTGATCCACAAGCATCTGGCCAGGGCTTTTAGAGCTTCACCTGACACCATTATCCAAGACTCAGCTGCATTGGCTATACAGGAGCTGCTGAAGATTGCAGGTTGTGAGGCTTCACTTGATGAAAATGTTACAGCTTCTGCGTCACAGACACTAAAATGTAAACCTCCTTTTGGTGTCCCTCCATCTGGTATCAAGAGCACAGCTGATTCCTGTGGAATGAATGGGAGGGGTCAGAGATTGTGGGACCGTTTCTCTAATTATGTCAAAGAGATAATTGCCCCTTGTTTAACCTCACGATTTCAGCTTCCAAATGTGGCTGATTCTGCATCTGCCGGTCCTATTTACAGGCCTTCGATGTCATTTAGAAGATGGATATTTTTCTGGATAAAAAAATTGACTGTGCATGCAACTGGTTCTCGTGCAAGTATTTTCAACTCTTGCCGAGGTATAGTGCGTCATGATATGCAAACAGCAATATATCTGCTACCTTATTTGGTCCTTGATGCTGTCTGCCATGGTACTGAGGAGGCACGCTGTGGCATAACAGAAGAGATCCTATCTGTTCTTGATGCTGCAGTATCCGAGAACAATGTGGCTGCAATTCATGGAATCAGTTCCAGACAAAGTGAAGTTTGCATTCAGGCTGTGTTCACTCTTCTTGATAATCTTGGCCAATGGGTGGATGATGTTGAACAAGAAATTGCTCTTTCTCAGTCTCTTCAGTCATCAAATTCTAAGCAACAAGCGTCCAAGTTAAAAGAGAAGAGCACTAATTCTTCAACGGATTCAGACCAATTCCTTATGCAGTGTAAATATGTTTCAGAGCTTTTGGCTGCAATTCCTAAGGTAACCCTTGCTAGGGCTTCCTTCAGGTGTCAGGCTTATGCTAGGTCCTTCTTGTACTTTGAGTCTCACGTTCGGGAAAAGTCAGGATCTTTCAACCCTGCTGCTGAGAGAAGTGGCATCTTTGAGGATGAAGATGTCTCATTTCTGATGGAAATATACAGCAGCTTGGATGAGCCTGATGGTTTATCTGGTTTGGCATGTTTACGTAAATCTAAAAGCTTACAAGACCAACTCTTAATAAACAAGAAAGCAGGAAACTGGGCAGAAGTTTTGACTTCTTGTGAACAAGCTCTGCAGATGGAACCCACTTCAGTTCAGAGGCATTCAGATGTCCTTAACTGTTTGCTAAACATGTGCCATTTGCAGGCGATGGTTACTCATGTCGATGGATTAATTTCTAGGGTTTCTCAGTACAAGAAAACATGGTGTATGCAAGGTGTTCAGGCTGCATGGAGGCTTGGCAGGTGGGAGCTGATGGATGAGTACCTTAATGGGGCTGATGAAGAAGGTTTACTATGTAGCAGTTCGGAGAGTAATGCCTCCTTTGACATGGATGTTGCAAAGATTCTCCAAGCAATGATGAAAAAAGATCAATTCTCAGTTGCTGAAAGAATTGCACTCTCAAAACAAGCTCTGATTGCTCCTTTGGCTGCTGCAGGCATGGATTCCTATATCCGGGCTTACCCGTTTGTTGTAAAGCTTCACATGCTAAGGGAACTAGAAGACTTCCACACTCTCCTTGTTGGTGAGTCTTTCTTGGAGAAGTCATTCCATCCAGGTGAATCTGGATTCTCAAAAGTAGTGGAAAACTGGGAAAATCGGCTCAGATTTACACAACCATCTCTCTGGATGAGGGAGCCACTCTTGGCTTTTCGGAGACTGGTTTTTGGTGCCAGTGGTCTTGGTGCTCAAGTTGGGAACTGCTGGCTGCAATATGCAAAACTCTGTCGATCAGCTGGTCATTATGAGACAGCTAATCGAGCAATTTTAGAAGCAAAGGCTTCAGGTGCACCTAATGTTCACATGGAAAAGGCTAAGCTTCTGTGGAGCACTAGGAGATCTGATGGTGCCATTGCAGAACTGCAACAAAATCTCCTGAACATGCCAGTGGAGGTTATTGGCTCTGCTGCAATGTCATCCATCACGAGCCTTTCATTGGTTCCACTGAACCAACCACCTTTACCTTCTGATACTCAAGATCTGAATGAGAATCTGGATATTGCCAAAACCCTCCTCCTGTACTCAAGGTGGATCCATTATACTGGCCAGAAGCAGAAGGAAGATGTTATCGGTCTTTATTCTAGGGTGAGGGAACTTCAGCCCAAGTGGGAGAAAGGATACTTTTATATGGCTAAGTATTGTGATGAACTGCTTGTTGATGCCAGAAAACGGCAGGAGGAGAATTTTGACCTTGGTCCAAGGATGATTCCATCTGTTTCCATGACCGTTGTTTCTATGAATTTAAATTCTGAAAAGCGTTGGTGGTCTTACATTCCTGATGTATTGTTATTCTATGCAAAGGGTCTTCACAGGGGCCACAAGAATCTCTTTCAAGCCCTTCCAAGGTTGTTAACCCTTTGGTTTGACTTTGGGAGCATTTATCAAAGAAGTGGTTCATCATCCAATAAAGATATGAAAAATGTTCATCTGAAGGTAGTGATTTTATTGTACTTATCTTCATATTTTTCAACCAAAATTGTAATTACTATCTCCGACATCATCTTTTAAAAAATATATGTTTATACTGTTCTATTCTTTCCTTTGCAGGTAGTAAGCATCATGCGAGGGTGTTTAAAGGATCTGCCTACACATCAGTGGTTAACAGTTCTTCCTCAATTAGTTTCTAGAATTTGCCACCAAAATGAAGAAATTGTCCGGCTGGTCAAACACATCATCACTTCCGTTCTCCGGCAATACCCACAGCAAGCCCTTTGGATTATGGCAGCAGTTTCAAAATCCACAGTACCTTCAAGGAGGGAGGCTGCTGCGGAGATAATACAATCTGCACGAAAAGGGTCAAGTCAGGGAAACGGTGGCAACAATTTGTTTGTTCAATTTGCAACCCTGATTGACCATCTAATCAGGTTGTGCTTCCATGCGGGCCAGTCAAAGGCAAGGACGATCAATATCTTAACTGAATTCAGTGCATTGAAGAGGATGATGCCGCTCGGTATCATAATGCCCATCCAACAGTCCCTCACAGTTAATCTACCCACATATGATACAAATCTGACTGACTCGCTTAGATCTGATATCTTCTCTGCCTCAGAGCTTCCTACAATATCAGGTATCGCAGATGAAGCGGAGATCCTTTCATCTCTTCAGCGACCCAAGAAGGTAAGCTTCTTGCATGATCTGTGGTTCAAATCAGATTGCTTGAATATGTTTTTTACTGAATTTTGTTAATGCACTCCCATCTGATTCACAGGTTTGGCATTTTGTTGTTCAATTACTTCACATTTGTAATGTGCCACATAATAGCGTATGAGGGCCCATGGCCATCTTTATGTCCAAAAAAGCATTTTACTATATATCTTTGCCTTTTACTATAATTTTGGACGGGTATTTCCTACTGTATATCTACTGAATGAACTTTATGATCATGAATTAGAGAGGAAAGGAACCAAATGTCTCCTGACACACCTAAAAGAAAGTGAAATAGCTCCATTGTCAGCTTGGCCATTTATGCTAACCACCTCCACTTCACTCCTACACCTACTACCACATTTTCTTCTATATATAGGAATCCTTGTAATTGTAATCTACATCAATATATACGACAATCAATTAAATATCAATCAATAATATCTCAATTTTAACACAATGCATGAGGCTTCTGCTAAAGCAGGCTTTGCATACATCTTGCACTCCCCAGACCCTGCTTTTTCAGGAGTCTTGTGCCTTGGGTTGTCTTCTTTTATCAGTCTAATCAAATAGTTGTAACACATGGGACCTTTTGTAAACTTTATGGTTATGATATCATACCCCGTATATAAGCCTGATAGTCTGTCCTGATGGTCACTGAACATGGTACCGCATGTCATCGTTGTAACAAGGGTTCTATTGTTTTGCTGTTTACAGGTTTTTCTTTTGGGCAGTGATGGTATTGAACGTCCATTCCTTTGCAAACCCAAAGATGACCTCAGAAAAGATGCGCGCATGATGGAATTTAATGCTATGATAAACCGTTTATTATCCAAGTGCCCAGAAAGTCGCAGGAGGAAGCTTTACATTCGTACCTTTGCAGTGATTCCACTAACAGAGGACTGTGGTATGGTAGAATGGGTGCCACACACTCGTGGGCTCCGACACATACTTCAAGACATTTATATAAGTAGTGGGAAATTTGACAGGCAGAAGACAAATCCTCAAATTAAGCGAATTTATGATCAATGCCAAGGGAAAATGCCAGAAGATGAGATGCTGAAGAACAAAATTCTGCCAATGTTTCCTCCAGCTTTCCACAAATGGTTTTTGAACACATTCTCTGAACCAGCTGCCTGGTTCAGGGCTCGAGTTGCTTATGCACACACGACTGCTGTTTGGTCGATGGTTGGGCACATTGTGGGCCTTGGAGATCGACATGGTGAAAATATTCTTTTTGAGTCTACCACAGGTGACTGTGTTCACGTTGATTTCAGTTGCTTATTTGACAAAGGTTTGCAGTTGGAGAAACCTGAGCTGGTGCCTTTCAGGCTAACCCAGGTAAGAAAAGCGCCATTGATGTATAATGACCTGACTCACTGAGGTTTATGACCAAATTTTCTGTAGAAATTTAATGTATAAAGAGAAATAGAGAATTGTATTATTGATTGATTTATATTTATTTCAATTACAATGATTCATGATTCCTATATATAGAAGAGGGTGAGTGTGTAGTAGGTAAGGAGTAGGTGAAGTGGAGGTGGTAGTGGTGTAGTGGGTTAGCCTACTCCTTACCTACTACACACTCACCCTCTTCTATATATAGGAATCATGAATCATTGTAATTGATATCAATATAAATCAATCAATAATACAATTCTTGTAGAAATTTAATGTATAAAGAGTCTACAAGAATTGTATTATTGATTGATTTATATTTATTTCAATTACAATGATTCATGATTCCTATATATAGAAGAGGGTGAGTGTGTAGTAGGTAAGGAGTAGGTGAAGTGGAGGTGGTAGTGGTGTAGTGGGTTAGGTTTAGTGGAGTAGGTTTAAGTGGGTGAAGTAGGTGAAGTGGAGGTGGATTTTAACATTTTCTGCTGTATTCAAGAGTCTCAAATTGTGCAAATTGCTTATCATGTGTAACTGGATTTTTGTTCTACTAAATTTTGTACTTGCATATTGCAAATAAGTTCTCTCATTCTGGATAACACAAAACATAGAGTTTTTAAATGCAATGTTATTCCCTCAATCGAGTGCATTCTTAACACTTCACAATGTTATTCACAATATTTTCTATTAGATTTTCAAATTCTTAACTATCCCTGGTGGCTAAATTCTTGAATTGTCTTTTCTGATTGGATCTGCAGAACATGATTGATGGATTGGGTATTACTGGATATGAGGGTGTTTTCCTGAGGGTTTGTGAGATCACACTTTCAGTACTCAGGGCCCACAGGGAGACTCTAATGAGTGTTCTTGAAACTTTCATCCATGATCCTCTTGTGGAATGGACTAAATCTCACAAGTCCAGTGGGGTTGAAGTTCAGAACCCCCATGCCCAGGTTAGAATCTTCATTATTCTCCTTTTCCCACTGTTTTTAGCATGTTAGCTTTATGATTGACTACAAAATTGTTTCTATTTTGAAGTTTAGCTCATCAACTTACAAGTAGACTCAAATCCGCTTTTGCAGACAGCCAAGTTGAAATTAGTCGTTGGCTTTTTAGGCCTGAAAAATCTGTTCCAAAGTAAAACTAGTTTCTAGTTGTGAGTCAACTATGAATTGACCATGTTCTAGCATTATAAGAACCCATTAACTGCCAAGACTACTTAATGTGTACAATGTTTGCTCTGGCTGGAAAATTGATTTAAACTTTAGGGGAAACTCGCTAGTGTGTGGATCAACTAGTAAAAGGGAACTGTACTCAATCTGAGTACTGTTATGTACCCCATTCCACAGGCTTGTATTAATAATATCTTACTTTTGGATATTTATGTAGACTTCATGCTTAAGTTTATATTATGCTAGTTCCATTTCACCCAAACCAAACCAAACCAAACCAAGTTTTGTGTCCCAATCAAATAGGTTTGCTAAATGAATTTTTTTAGCATTATGCTCTATAGAAGGCCGTATGCTAGTTCCATTGTACTAAAAAAGAAAAATGTTATGCAGTTATTATACTTATGTTTAAGTTTGATTATTTCCATTAAACCAAAAAAAGGGACTGGAATTGTGGATTAAGTGACTCTAGCGGCTAGGTGTAATCACTCTAACTTAGTTTAACTGTAACATACTTGATTCTTGACTTTTTAAGTTTGGTATAAAAGATCATTTTGTGGGCAAAATCTTTTAAAGAGTTAACCCCTTAAGTATGCTGTGTTTGAAATTGCAGCGAGCTATCTGTAATATTGAAGCACGGCTGCAAGGAGTTGTTGTTGGTGTTGGAGCAGCACCATCTTTGCCTCTTGCTGTAGAAGGACAGGCACGCCGCTTGATTGCAGAAGCAGTTTCACACAAAAACCTTGGAAAGATGTATATATGGTGGATGCCTTGGTTTTAGGACCTGCAAGCTAAAGCGTTTTCATTGTTATGCATCAATGCTAGGTATGCCATTTTGTTGAAATAGTTCCTTGGTTTTAAGAGGTGCAAGCATGATCCCCACCATTTTGTACGAGTTAATACACTTGACAGAATGGGGAGAACTCTTGCTGTTTGATAAGAAAACAGATGTATATAAACATCATCAGATGGAAGACTTTGTGATTGTCCTTATGCATGTTTTGGCTTCTTGTAGTTGCCATTATCACTTACTTTTGAGCATTACAATTCCCTATGTGACTTTGGACTTGTATTGGTGTCTCTATGTCTATCTATCAGCTCGTAACCGGGATCTTTTTTTTTTTTTCTTTCTATTTCTTCTTTCAATTAATTTGAAATGACAGTGGAAGGGATCAGGTCCGTTAATACTGCCTCATGTAGAACAGCCACAAGATCACACAGAGAAAGTGACACTAAGCTTATCAACAGTTTCTACTTTCTATCTTTTTTCTGAACATGGGTATGCAGCTGAATTCTGTCATTGGTGCGACACAATTACTGTTTCTCTTTGCAAGACACCACTTGCCAGTGGCAGGTTAGTATTCTTTCATTTGATTTAGTATTATGCACCGTAGGGATGAACTAAAATCTGTGCTATTAAATGAAAAATCTGCCTTTGCCTTGATTTTGTGTCTCGGATTGTACCTGTGACTTCTTAGCAAAAATCGATTTCTCAATAATTTGCCATTGTCTGAACAAATTGTAAATGTGGAGTTGATTTTTCTTTCTAGGAGAATTAGCCAAGTTCATTTCTATGATGTTCAAGTGATCTGTCTTGATGAACCTTTTTTCACAACTTAAGAAATTCATTTCTTTGTGTTTAAGTGATCTCATGTATGCTATAACTGGCATCCATGGAATCATAGAGTTGTTTGTGATGCTAGGACACACTCGGTGGCAATCTAAATTTTGCCTTCAATTTGGAGATGACTTGAAAAGATGTAGATTTAATGGATTGTTCTGTTGCTTGCCATTGCAGTTTAATTTCATTACAAGAGTACTACTTGGGCATCTTTTTTGCAAGAGTTGTGTGAAGGCCAATGAGGACAGGAATGGTCGAAGGCTCACAGGAGATGCAGACTAGAAAGAGCTGAAACTTGAGTATTATGCTTCAGCAAGTCCGCAGCACCACAAGAAGTAACGTCATAGAGAGAGTTTACTTATACAGAGGTAAATTAGAGCCATGATGGGATTGGGATGGTAAATTTTGTTCCCTAACCCTGCCCCTGCCCCCCTGCTGGTTTTTTGTATGTGGAATATTTTACTTTGTATATTCATGTAAAACATCGTTTGTTTAGGTCAACTCTGATGGCAATTTGCAATATACAGCTCCCATGGTTCTTTTTATTTTTATTTTAATTTATTTATTTTTTTGTGGTAATGTCGATTTCAGGTTTGGTTCCATTTTTTGCGAATAGTGATAAGTTGACATTTGAATTCTACGTGATACTGCAGATATGTACTCCATGCCCAAAACTTGATTTTAATTCATCAGCAAATAATACGGAGAACATTTGAAATTTCTCAAGAGCTATCACTTTTGATATGATCAACCTAACCAGTCTTTCAACACTCTCCCTTTGGCAACAAAACATCCCACATTGTTCCGGTCAATTCTCATTGGACATTTCATCCGAACCATCATCTGTTTAACCAGACCTTTCACCGGCGACTCTCCCCTAACTGTGCTATGCTTTCCTGACCCACAAACCACTGTAACCTCTGCCGGAACCACCTGATTCTGATCCCGGAACCTTGCCCGCAGCTCCTCTGTCCACTGTAACATAATCAAATAGGCAGATCCCAAGTGCATTCCATGCAAATCTAACTTCCCCTCCAATGAATTCCATTCCATTGCCTTCTCAAAAACTGATGATCCAATCAACTCCTGAACCAGCAAACCTTCATCGACGAGCAAATTCTCCATCAGCTCTTGGATTGAAATGGGAACAGTTTTGAGTTCTTGAAGCATTGTCATGATTGTTGGGCAAGAATTCAACACCGAGTTATATGTTCGAATTGAAAACGAAACACCTGAAGATTTCATTCTTTGGAGCCACAAAACCATCTCCGGGAGCTCACTGTGAGCTCCAAAAGATGAGAGAACCATATTTGAACAAACTGTATCTAATTTGAAACCTTCAATCTCCATTTGAACCACACATCTCTTCATATCATCGAACAAGCCTAATCTTCCATACGCGTATATCACAGATCTGAACTCGAATGCAGATGATTTCACTCCTAAACCTCTCATCTCTTTCATCAAATTCTCAGCTTCAGGAGGTAGATCCATAGCGCACAAGCCACTGACCATCGATTCAAATGCGCGACGTTTCACATAAACAGAGGATGAAGCACACGCCAACTCCTTCAGACGTGCGTAGGAATCGAAAAAACCTGGTTTCGATTTGTGTTTGGAGTGAGAATCAATCAAATTGCAGTAGAAAAGAGCCAGGTCGCGTTCTCGAAACCCTAATTTGGAAACGGTCTCGGAAATCAAGGACTGTGCTTTGTCTTCTTGTCCCTGTTTATCAAGCAAAGCGACGAGGTCTGCTACTATCTTTGGGTTCCAATTGAACCATGAAGCTTCGCTGATCCTCGAATACAACTACAACAGCAATGTCAAGAGAGTAACTGTAAGTATTTTAGAGAGAGAGAGAGAGAGAGAGAGAGAGACTTACGGGGAGAGCGAGAGAGGAGAGGTGGGGGTGAGGAGTGTGGGGGGAGAGGAGATGGGAGAGGGCATTGAGAGCTATGGATTTGGAAGAGGAGAGTACGAATTTACGGATTAAGCGATTGGAGTGTGATGGATCGTCGGTGGTGGTGGCGAGGGAGGAGAGAAAGCGGTGGCCTTGCTTGGTTAGAGCGCAATGGGTGGTGGAAATTGGTGGGGGTTGGTGGTGGCGGCGGCGACAGTAGTGGTGGTGGTGGTGGTTAGATGGCAGTTGCAGTGACACCTTCACGCAGCCAACCATTGCCATCGGTTTTTGGTAGCTAAAAGATGATGCCAAGGCAATCCACTTTAATCATTTGATCCATTTTTAGCAGAGTGATTAAGCATTTTTAGACGAGTAAATTAAGTGATAAGAGTTTTTTTTCTTATATTTATGATTAAAATGTCAAATTTTATGTACTTCTCTGCATATTAATATTTTTGTTTTATATTTGAACTTCTTTTAGATTGTTACAATGAATTTTGATTATCAAATGATTTTTTCATATCTTGATATTGATTTGCTACAAGTTGAAAACTATTTCAAATTTTCGAAATGCTTAATTTGTCACACGAAAAATTGTTTTAAACTTTTATAACAATTTATTTGTCACATGTTAAAGACTGATTTAAACTTTTATAACAATTGATTTGTTGCATATTAAAAATTATTTTAAACTTTTATGACACGTTGAAAATCATTCCAAACTTACTCGTTGAAAATTATTCCAAATTTTTATAACAATTGATTTGTTGCGCATTAAAAACCATTCTATACTTTTACAATAATTGCTTTGCTGTGCATTGAAAACTATTTCAAACTTTCATAACAACATTTGTTGCATGTTGAAAACGGTCACAATCTTTGATGTTAAAAGTATTTGAAATGTTTATTACTAACTAAAAAAATAAGAGTCTGACTAATAGTCTCAACAATTGCTAATAAGAATTACATAGTATCAAAATATTTATAATTACAACATACGTTTCACATATTTTCAAATACTTTTACATATTTTTATTCATTCTATACATAGTGTTTCACATATTTTCAAATACTTTTACATATTTTTATTCATTCTATACATAGTTTGATACATTTCGTACACATTTATCAAAACTTAAGAATAGTTGATAGTTTATTTTTAATATTTCTCATTTGAAATACCAAAACCAGCTCACTTCGTTTATCATAGACACTTTCCGTTACTTTCTTCATATGTCCAGATTCTCAAAGAATTTGGCAAGGATCATCCTTGGGTTTTCTTGCTTAACATATTGATTAATATTAGTAATTAACTTTCTAATCTTGTTGCTCTTGTTCTTGATTCTTTATAAGATAGTTTAAATATTGGATCAGATGATTAAGATCTTGTTGAAGGACAATTCACTTAACCTATGTTCTCTTATTTATTTATTGGGGGTGCCTCAGGGAAATTGATTAGCTACATAGTTAAGATTTTGTTCTTAGAATAATTCAAAGAATGGAGATGTAAATGGTTGAAGAAATTTTACATAATGATAATTTCTCGAGCACACAAGAATGGCACATGAATGTGTGTTGCACACGTGCAAACAACATGCATGTGTCTACATGTGCCCACGTGCAAGCGATAACCTAATGAACTAATGGGAAAATGTTTTGCATTCTTGTGCAGGTAATTTTAGATGATATCATAAAATCTTAAAGGTTGGTAATTTTATTTTTTCAATGGTTGTTCAATTCTTTTGTCCTTGTACATATATTTAGCGGAGGAAAAAAAATGATATTTAGATTTTCTTGTAACAATGTTGCCTTCTCTCTATGATACGCTTGAAACTATAGAAAGAAGAGAACAAAGATTGAAGATGTGTATAATAATGATGAGTCAAGTTTTCTATCACGGAGCGTGCATGAGAGGTTCTAGAAAATGTTACAGATGAATTCCCTAGTTTGATTAAGTATATGCTTCCCTCAAATGTCACTCGTGGATTTTGGTTGATAATCCCAAAAATTTTGTTTAGTGTTCTAGATAGAGTTTGATGTAATTTTGGACTGCCAAACAATATTTTGGGCTAACTTCTCTTGCGGCAAATTCTACCTAAAAATTTATGCAATTTGCATTTGTCAATGCATGATACCACAATCATTTTGGTAGATGAATGTGGGGAAAAGAGTACAAAGCAAATTTTTTAATGGAAATGAATGGATTGTGCATTGGAGGGAGGCGTTTCTCCATAGATCATGGACTACGTAAAGGAGATATTTTGGTCTTCCATCTAATCAAGCCTTGCACGTTAAAGGTAATTGTTTTAAGTTTCCTTGATATTTTTATGATGCTTGTGTTTAAGAATTATCCATTTCATTTTTTAAAAAAAACTTGATATTTTTGGATTATCTTGTAACAATGCTGCCTTGTACTTGAAGCTATAGAAAGAAGAGAACGGGGGTTGAAGACGTCTATGATAATGTTGAAGTCAAGTTTTCTATCACGAAGCGTGCAAAAGAAGTTCTAGAAAATGTTGCAGATGAATTCCCTAGTTTTATTAAGTATATGCTTCCCTCAAATGTTACGCATGGATTTTGGCTGATCTAGATAGAATTTGATGTAATTTTGGAGTGCCAGACAATAGTTTGGACTAACTTCTCTTGCGGCAAATTCTTCCTAGAAATTTCTGCAATTTGCATTTACTAATGCATGATACAACAATCGTTTTGGTAAATAAATGCGGAAAAGAATACAAAGCAAATTTTTTAATGGAAAGCAATGGATTGAGCACTGGATGGAGGTGTTTCTCCATAGATCATAGACTATGTAAAGGAGATATTTTGGTCTTCCATCTGATCAAGGATTATCTTGTAACAATGTTGCCTTATCTCTATGATATACCTGAAGCTATAGAAAGAAGAGAACAAGGATTGAAGACGTGTATGATAATGATGAAGTCAAGTTTTTTTTGTCATGAAGCGTGCAAAAACTGTTTTAGAAAATTTTACAGATGAATTCCCTAACTTTATTAAGTAAATGCTTCCCTCAAATATCACTAATGGATTTTGGCTAATAAGCCCAATTTTTTTATTATTATTTTATTTTAGCGTTTTAGATAGAATTTGATGTAATTTTGGACTGCCAGACAATAATTTGGGCTAATTCCTTTGCGTCAAATTCTTACAAATTTTTGCAATTTGCATTTGCCAATGCAAGATAACATAGAAGTGGGTTGACTTTTTGGCTTTTTGGTTTTTTTGACTATTTTAGCCTGGGGCTAAAAAACCTGGTTTGAGAAGGGCTTTTGACTTTTTTGACTTTTTTGTGAGAGAAAGAATGTAATGATTATGGGTTGGATGTAATGTTTTGTTTTATTGGGCTAAAAAGTCTATTTTATTTTTTGTGGCTAAATAAGTCAAAAAAGCCTGGCTTTTGGCTTGCCAAACGAAGCCATAGTCATTTTGGTGGAGGAATGTGGGAAAGAATACAAAGCAAATTTTTTAAGGGAAATGAATGAACTGAGCGTTGGATGGAGGGGTTTCTCCATAGATCATGGACCACGAAAAGGAGATGTTTTGGTCTTCCATCTGATCAAGCCTATAATTGTTTTAACTTTTCTTGATGTTCTTATGATGCTTGTGTTCAAGAATTATCCATTTCATTTAAAAAAAACTTGATATTTGGATCACCTTGTAACAATGTTGCCTTGTCTCTATGATATACTTGAAACTATAGAAAGAAGAGAACAAGGATTGAAGACATGTATGATAATGATGAAGTTAAGTTTTCTGTCACGAAGAGTGCAGAAGACAGCTCTAGAAAATTTAGCAGATGAATTCCCTTGCTTTATTAAGTATATGCTTCCCTCAAATGTCACTCATGGATTTTGGCTGATAAACCCAAAAATTTTGTTTAGTTTTTCAGATAGAGTTTGATGTACTTTTGGAGTGCCAGAGAATAATTTGGGCTAACTTCTCTTGCAACAAATTCTTCTTAGAAATTTGTACAATTTGCATTTGCCAGTCATTTGGTGGACGAATGTGGGAGAGAGTACAAGGCAAATTTTTTTAATGGAAAGGAATGGACCGAGTGCTGGATGGAGGCGTTTCTCCATAGATCATGGACTACATAAAGGAGATATTTTGGTCTTATCAAGCCTTGCACTATAAAGGCAATTGTTTTAATTTTTCTTGATGTTTTTATGATGCTTGTGTTCAAGAATTGTCCATTTCATTTAAAAAAACTTGATATTTGGATTATCTTATAACAATGCTGCCTTGTCTCTATGATATACTTGAAAATATAGAAAGAAGAGAATAAGGATTGAAGATGTGTATGACAATGATGAAGTCAAGTTTTCTGTCACGAAGCGTGTAGAAGACGTTCTAAAAAATTTTGCAAATAAATTCCCTAACTTTATTAGTATATGCTTCTCTCAAGTGTCACTCATGGATTTTGGCTGATAAGCCCAAAAATTTTGTTTAGTGTTTTAGATAGAGTTTGATGTAATTTTGGAGTGCCAAACAATAATTTGGGCTAACTTCTCTTCCCGCGAATTCTTTAAGTATGCGCTTCCCTCAAATGTCACTCATGGATTGTGGTTGATAAGACTAAAAAATTTGTTTAGTGTTTTAGATAGAGTTTAACGTAATTTTAGAGTGCCAAACAATAATCTGGGCTAACTTCTCTTCTGACAAATCTTTTTAGAAATTTTTGCAATTTGCATTTGTCAATGCATGATACCACAATCATTTTGGTGGATGGATGTTACGCATGGATTTAGTACAAAGCAAAATTTTTAATGGAAAGGAATGGATTGAGCACTGGATGGAGGTGTTTCTACATAGATCATAACTACGTAAAGGAGATATTTTGGTCTTCCATCTGATCAAGCCTTGCATGTTAATGGTAATTGTTTTAACTTTTCTTGATGTTTTTATGATACTTGTATTCAAGAATTATCCATTTAAATTTCTTAATTATGAATTGAATGAGGAGGAAGAGGCGTTCAATCTTTAAAAAGCTGCCTAGAAAGTTTATAAATGAAGATGTTGGTGAAACAACCATGACAGTTGTAATTGGCTTCCTCTAGCATTAGTTAAAATACTAGCTTGTTGGCTAAAAAGACTCATTTTTTTAAAAACAACTTTAAGTCATTTGACATATATCTGTTTCCCACTAGAAGACAACTTAAGTCCCACAGAAATAAATAAATAAATAAAAAGAAAAAAAATATGCCAAACAAACTAATTTTTTTAGTATTAGCCTTTTTGTTAGTTTATTTTTAGCTAATAAATTAGTTTTTTAGCTAACTCCAAAAAGATGCATAAGACATGTGTAAGTTCATGATTATAAATTATTTGTTTGTTTTAAGGTTGATCAGATTGTAATTAGTTGGTTTCGTTGTATGTTTCTTTTGGTACCAAACCCCAAAGAGAAGAAACGTGTCTAGTTTTTATGTTATCATCAAGTTCACAAATTTCTTTTGGTACCAAACCCCAAAGAGAAGAAACGTGTCTAGTTTTTATGTTATCATCAAGTTCACAAATTTTGATTCACTCGACATAAAAAATTAAAAATTACTAGACTTTCTAATAATAATGATAGCATGATAAGGTGTGTCACTCTTTGTATAGGCAGATTATTATCCTTAACAAAGATTCGAACAATTATTTATGTTGAAGGACAAATATGATTGAGATTAGAACGTTGCTACAATTATTAAGAATAATCATTTTATTTTTGTTTTTATAAATCTAAAATAACTAGATTTGTAATTAAGTTCGCTAAATAATAATAATAATAAATAAAATGGTAAATTATAAACATATCTTTTGAGATTTGATTAAAATATGAATTGTCTCTTATAGTTTTGAAAATTACATTACACCCCTTAAAATTTCTAATTTCATAACAAATCATCCATTTTATTAATAAATCATTAAGTTAATTAACAGTTTATTAATAATGTTAAAAATTTAATTAATAATTTAAGTAATTTTATTATTATATAAGAGAGCAATTATAAATTTTATTTTATTTAATTAATTTTGTTAAATAAAAAAATTTAATAAAAAAATATTTATAATTTTTTAAATTATAATAAATAACTTATATTTTAAACAAACTGCAGTATTTATAATTTAACCTAAATAAAAAACTTTCCTTTCTAAGAGAGAGACGAAATAAAGGCAGTCGCACACACGGGGCCAGTGGCCCAAAAAGGAAGAAGTATCTGAAGAGTCGATCGAGAGAGATAGAGAGAGGTGATTTATAGCCAAAACCAGACGGCTTTGTCTTTTATACCCTCCTCTCCTCCCTTTCCTTCCTTTCTTTCTCAACAATCTCTCTCTCTCTCTCTCTCTCTCTCAAAAGGGTTGTATAGTCTGGAAAGATGAGAAAGAAGCCGAGAAGCAGCCTTGACTCTGCGATTGTGGATGTTTGCCAACGAGAGCTCGGCCATCTCTCTTCCAGAAACTTTGCTCTCCGCCTCGCCGCCTCCCAGGTCCTCCTTCTTTCTTTTCCATCCATTTATCCACTTTGAGCTTTCTACTCATTCATTCTGATCCGATTGCTGTCTCAATTTTACTTATATATATGTTTAATTTTTAATTTTTATTAAAAATCTTGTATATGTTGATTTCACATAATTAGAATCACTGACATGTTTGAAATTGCGGTAGCGGCCAATGTGACATTTATTATTACTGTTGCAATGTGATGGTATCGATGGATCTTTTTCGTGCACTGACCTTTATGTACTGATGATGGTGTGTTAAAGTCCATGCATGAGCAATAACCTAATGTAATACTAGTGGTGCTTATGATGTGGGGATGCCATGATTCGTCTTTGTTTCAAATTGAGATGCTTTAGCAGTTCAATTTGTTCTTGAATTTTTTAAATGCATATCCAATTAGCAAGCAAAGCCTATTGATAGTTGAGATTGTTGATACTGCTAATTCATTCTCACAATCAGTGGCGGAGGAGCCAAAATTTTAACTCATAAGGGGCACTACTGTAACAAAATCTTAACAAAATTCACAATCCAATTTAACTTAATTTTTATTTGATGGCAAAACTAAAAATTAGTGTGATGCAAAAGCTATATTTGAATATAAGCTCAAGTTAACCAATTAAATTATAAAGATGCACACAAAAATAGATATAGAGAGTGATGGAGAAAGAAATAAAAGAAAGGGTGAATAAATAATATATGGGGGCTGCTATATATCATTTGTTTTTTTTCACCGTTTTGAATCACTGAATCACATGGCAATATATTATTAGTTGTTATTAATTATGTAATAATAATTTATAAAAAAATGAACTAATTATGTGTCAGGATCCAAACTCGCCCCTATAGGTTTAGTGTCATGACCGGTCAGCAATCATAGATTACCTATGGCCTCCATACAAATGAACCTCTTAATATAAAGTACGGGGCTTAGCGGAAGTTAAAATGACATAGAAACTATCCATTGAGCTGTGCGTATATGTAGAGAACTAATATAATAAGCAAAGGTTTGTTCCAAATGTACATCCATCGCAATCGTACAAAATTCGTGTCTTACAAAAATACAACCCCAACTATATATACAAATATAAAAGTCACTTAAACACACAAAAAGGGATTCGACTAGCATGGCACCACCCGAGCCTGGTTACTTCACTTGGAAGCTCCTCAAAAGGTTGACCTGTGGGTAGACTCGAGGCTTTCCTAACTCTGATGTCCAGCTTGCCCACCCACATATATATAAATAAATAGTGAGCTAGAGCCCAATGAGTAATAATAGAATAAAGAGGTTATATGAATGAAGCTCAATAATATTGTCAAACCAAATTTCATTTAATCATCAAAATCTTTCAATATCGATTTATGTGGTACATCCATTATATGACAACATTCCAGTGATAACGGACCATATGTCAATCAATCCAAAAGCCATTGTATTGTTACCCCCAGGCAAGGGCCTAGCCATGATATTGTTACCTCTAGGCAAGGGCCTAGCCATAGTACTGTTACCCCAAGGCAAGGGCCTAACCATGGTATTGTTACCCCAGGCAAGGGCTTACATTCAGTGGATGCTACAAAACCATTTCAAAACAGAACTTCATTCATTATAAGAAAACAACATTTTCAATAGGGCATGCTATCAATTATCAAATCATTTCAATATTTCATTCAATCAATCACATATCCATTTCGATAGCAATAACATTTGCGAAAGTAAAGATAATCTGGACTTATCTTTATAAAGTTATTACTCACAGTGGTTTGTGTTGTCACTAAGCCTCGAACGTCCGCCTAACAAAACACATAACAAAGCACAATTGAAACTCCATTTCATTTTAATTCAATTCTCTTTATGTATTTCTAACTCATTCTATGATTATGAGTCCAAATAGTGCCTAAGAACACTAGGAGTGGCATGAGGATGCAAATATGCACTTAAAAGAGTTAGTCAAAATTTGCTGAAAACAGGGTCTCTGCTTGAGCGTAACTTCCTTCGCTCAAACGGGGGTTCAAAAACAAAGGTGGTCGCTCGAGCGCAACTTCTGTCGCTCGAGCGGTCTGCAAACTTGGCAAAAGTACTGGTTGTATGAAATTCTCACTCGACGGTCGCTCGAGCGGAAGACTGAGTAAAAAGGGTCCTCGCCCGAGCTCCACTTTGGTCGCTCGAGCGATCTGCAAAATTTTATAAAACTTTTGGGAGCTCGATTTTCATGCTCGTTCCTCACTCGAGCGGACAAGCCGAATTCTAAAATTTCTAGAACTGTGTTTGAGCTTCAAGGTTGATATTCAAAGCCTCAAAACTTGTGTCTTTGGTACAAAAACTTGGAAAATCGTTATATAACATGAAAATGCTTCCAATTTGAAACCGTTTATTCAAAATCATGCTCCAATTGTCCAAATTTGAGCTTATACAAGCAAGCTAAAACCATGCATGTAATGAATTGAGTCTTCTTCATGTTAAAACATCACTAAGTGATATGAAATGCATGAATCTATGGATGATCTTCAAGCTCATGCCTCCTAAGATTCATGCATGTATGAATTTCAAGAAATCTTAACTCAAACATGAAGGATTAAGCATGGATATGCATAATTCAACTCAATTTCATCATATTCATGGTAATTCATGCTCAACCTACTCAAATTCAAGCAAATGATCCTATAATTCCTTGCTCTTAGTTTCTACATGACTCAAGTTCATGAATTTAGGATGAATCTCATACCTAATGTGTGAATTCAAGTGTTGGTCTAGCAATCCTCTTCAATTCTCCTTTTTCTCTCTCTAAAATGTTGTGTCTTTTCTTCCTTCTCTCAAAATCTCAGCCACGAGTGTATATCTATGAGTTCAAGGCCTAATTAGAGCCTTATATAGGACATAATTAAGTTAGCCTAATCAAGTGTGATTAAGGTTAATTAGCTAGGCTTAATTCTAACTAATTCAATCAGTTTTTTCTAATTATTTTGATCCAAATCAATTTTCAATTGAGGTTGCCATAAGGTTCTAAATATTCTAATTAATCTATTACGCTAGTTAATTTCAGTTTCTGAAGCCGTCTAGGCTCTCAATTTCTGTCTCTTAAGTTATCAATTGAACAAATATTTCATGTAATAACAGATAGATACAAAATTAAGCATGTAATTACACAACTAAGCACATAATCATGCAATTAAACTTATTAGAATAATATAATATAATAGTCCGGAGGTCGGGGTCGTCACAGTCTCTCCCCCTTAGAAAGTTTGGTCTTCCAAACTTAAGTTACCTTCAGATGAAAATAAATGCGGATAGCGTTGCCACATCTCTTCCTCTTTCTCCCAAGTGGCCTCCGTCCCATAGTGTTCTTTCCACTCGACTTTTACCATAGGGATAGTTTTGCTTCTCAATTGTTTCACTTGCCGATCAACAATTTGCACGGGCCATTCATCATATTCTCGTCTAGAGCAATCCGGTGGTGATCAATCACATGGAACGGGTCTCTAAGATACCCACGAAGCATGGATATATGGAAGACATTATGCACTTGTTCCATTCGCGGTGGCAAAGCAATATGATAAGCTACAGGACCCAACCGTTCAAGGATCTGAAACGGTCCAATATAGCGAGGAGTCAATTTTTCCTTTTTGCCAAATCTCACCTGCCCCTTCATCGGTGTTACTTTAATAAGCACATGATCCCCTATTTCATACTCTAAGTCTCTTCTTCGTTGATCCGCATAGTTTTTCTGTGGACTTTGTGCAATTTTGAGCCTTTGCTGAATGATTTTGATCTTCTCAATCGTCTCTTGCACAAGTTCAACCCCATAAATAGCCCTATCACCAACCTCTGTCCAACAAACTGGGGATCTACATTTTCTGCCATATAGTGCCTCATATGGTGCCATACTGATGCTAGTATGGAAACTATTATTATAAGCAAACTTAGCCAATGGTAAATAAGTTTCCCAGCTGCCTTGAAAATCCAAAACACACATACGAAGCATGTCTTCTAAGGTCTGAATGGTCCTCTCAGTTTGCCCATCGGTTTATGGATGAAATGCTATACTGAATCTCAATTCTGTTCCCATTGCCTCCTGCAGACTATGCCAAAATCTAGAAACAAATTTAGGATCCCTATCCGATACAATAGACACTGGAACCCCATGCAGTCGAATAATTTCGTCAATGTAGATAGTAGCAAGTCTATATGCAGTAAAAGAAGTCTTTACGGCAAGAAAATGAGCAGATTTAGTCAGTCTATCAACTACAACCCAAATAGAATCCTTACCTCTAGGCGTTCGAGGCAGACCAACAACAAAATCCATGGTGATATGTTTCCATTTCCATTTCGGAATAGGAAAAGACTGAAGCAAACCTGCTGGTTTTTGATGCTCCGTTTTTACTTGTTGGCTTTGTAAGCATTTAGAGTTGAAGTCGGCAATCTCTCCTTTCATGTTGGGCCACCAATATACTAACTTCAAATCTTAGTACATTTTAGTATTTCCTGGGTGCATAGCAAACATTGACTTGTGGGCTTCTGCATCATTTGGAACACACAATCTCCCTTGAAATTTTAACATGGAATCTTCAATTACAAACCCTGGTTTAGGTTTGGTGTCAAGTTCATCACAAATCTTCAAGAACTCATCATTCATTTGCTTTTGTTTAATTTCCTCGATAATGGCAGGTTGGGCAGACATCGCGGTTATCAAGCTATCTTGTTCATAAGGAACCACTTCAATTTCAAGTTTTTCAAACTCCAGTAGCAGTTCTCTCTGATCTATGAGTAAACAGGCAAAATTCCCCACATTCTTTCTACTAAGTGCATCTGCTACAGTATTGGCTTTACCTAGATGATAGTGAATTTGCAAGTCATAATCTTTGATTAGTTCAAGCCATCGTCTTTGACGCATGTTCAACTCTTTCTGTGTGAAGAAGTATTTCAAGCTCTTATGATCTGTGTACACTTCACATTTGGTCCCATACAAATAGTGACGCCATATCTTTTATGCAA